GGTCCCCTCACGGAATTCTCAAAGAAAGTCTTCGTGTCAGCGCAAGACACCTGGGAAGCAGACTTCAAATCTGCAGCAGAGCTTCCTACCTTAAAGGGTTTAGGGTTTAGGGAGTTTCGGTTTTAGGGTTTAGGGTTTAGTGATTTTCGGTTTTAGGGTTTAGGGACTTAGGCATTTAGAGTTTAGGGTTTTGCAAAGGATAGCCTGTAGCCGTTTTAAGTAAGGTGAACGCCACATATACCAAAAGGCTAACTTGAGAGAAGCCCTAGACGAACACCTAAGCTGGTTTGGAAACTAGTCTATACAGGAGGTCCACATATGTCCCCACTATGGAGCCTGCATTGCATTATCATCCTTGTTACCAGGATTGCCACTTGCACCCAAACCCTGGGACCAAAACCTTAAACCGGTCGGCTAAGGCTTGCATGCGCAGCGCCTGCAGCGCCGGTGAGCATTTTGTTGCCTCGCAACGCCTTTTTCGAAGCTTTGCGGAGCACTTGTGCAGCTAGGTTGCTGTGAAGGAGCTAAGCTTGAGGTTCAGGTCTTACCATCACGTAGAATTGAACGGAAAAGTTGAAAATGACAGGGAAACTGGGGTTATTGAGGGGGGGGGGTGTATATAGGGGGTTATATTATATAAGGAGCAAGGGAAAGTCGGTTAAGCTACCATGATATGTGGAAGACCTGCTATTTACATGTATTTACCAAACCTTGTTTATATGGTAACTTCATTTCACTTCCCCTAAACCTTCATGCAGCCCTAAGCCCCAACCCCCAAACCCCGTCTAGATTGCACATAGTTGTTTGTGCTGTTTGATTGAGATTTTTCGCGCCTCCGCCACTGTTGTCTCTCCAGCTCGCTAGAGTGTTACCATGCGCCGCTGCATGGCCATGCAAGTGGCAGAATACCCAAACCCTAAACATTATGTCATAAACCTCATATCCTAAACTCTAAATCCTAAACCCTAAACCTTCAATACTAAGTCCTAGACCCTTCAAGTCTATGAGCCGCAGCCCAGGCAGACAGCCCACGAGGCCCTTCGCTGCTGGAAGCCGGAGGCGCTGGACCCCAAACCCTACATATGGAGGTTATCCCAACAGAGTAGTATTTTATTTGGGGATAATATGGTACCCGATATAGAGTAAGATTATATCCTCCATTTGGGGTATAGTATTTTATATAAGGAATATAATCTTACTAGATTTAACCACCAAAAAAAGCTACTCATATGGAGGTTATCCCAACAGGCCCTGGCTTAGGGTTGAGGATTTCGGGTGTAGAGTTTACCAACATTTGGGGCACCGTGTTTGGGCGTCCCTATAATGAGGGCTTCAAGTTTTTTGGGTCTATATTCGGGTCCCCTTATTTAGAGAAACGACCCTATCCCTGTACTCCTTTTTTCGCACACAGGAACTACATATCCCTATGCTCCAATTCTTAGGAAGTTTAGGGTTTAGGGTTGAAGGGAAAATAAGCTTTAGTATAGTATAAACAATATAAACCTAGTGAGTTATGAACCATAGTAATGTCGTTATAGGTCTGTATAGACCCTGTACGAGCTACTGTCAGGATTAGGAATACCGATGGACCGTAAAGGGTGGATGTCGAGGTCCTTTTTTGTGCTTTAGGAAAGTCCTTAATACATCCCTAGTAGGAACCCATGTTCATGACTCATACGGGAAATATTGACTGCAGCTCATTTACACCCTGTAGCTCCAACAACAAGCCCTACATCTTCTATTTATCCCTCATCAAATCCTACATCTCTCCTTGTAAGCCCCATATCCCTCTATAAACCCTGTATAGACCCCACCCCGCCCCCACCCCCCCTCCCCCAATGGTGTGGCATTATGGTATTGGTACAAGGTTCCACAGTTGCCAGCATTACAGCATTCTGGCAGCATCAAGACCTGCATGTTTGAGAGATCAGGCAGATCCTCCTCCTCCCCTCCTGGTTTGCTGGGTTTGCTTTCTTCCATCAGTTTCAAATAATTCAGATCTTCTCCTCTGCCCCCCCTGGGGTGTGGTGGGTGTGCTTTCTCCCAAAACTGTCAGCATTATCTTTTGCTGAAAGCATTCAGACTTCCTCCCTCCCTGGATGTGGGTGGCTGTCTTCCTTCAATAACTGTCACTGCTCCTGTCAAGTCATTCAGATCTTTCCCCTCCCCCCTGCGGTCTGGGTGGCGAGGGACATTCGCCATTCTTGTAATTGTTGGCATTTTGGGGCCTGCAACATCAAAACAACCACAATGACAATTCGCGGATCGTGATTAGGACACCCACCATCCTTGTGAGCATTGGCACTTTCGAGATTTGTGACATCAAAAATGGTGACAGTTATGAGGATTGTGATTAGGACACCCACCATCCCTGTGGCTGTTGGCACTTCTCAGATCTTCTTGACATTTGCGACAGAAAAAAGGTGATAGTTGATTACGAGGATTGTAGCAGGACTCCCACGACCTGTGACTTCTGGCAATGTTGAGATCTTTGAAATAAAAACGACGACAGTTACGAGAATGGCACCTCCGAGGCCCCCAAAACGAGGACAGTTACGAGGATCTCAAGCTGGACACCCACCATCCTTGTAATTGTTCACACTTTTGAGAGTCCGGGGCTGGCGGTCAGGGGACCATACCATGCAAAGCGTGTGGGACACGACGACACGACACCGTGTACCCTTATATCCCCCTTTGAAAGCTTAGGGTTCATAACCAGATAACCCTGTACAAGCGCTTTATACCCCTACATCCCCGTACTAGTTTAGGGCTGAGGCTCTATAACCTCTATGACCCCTTGTAAACCCTATTTCACCATAAGGTTTAGGGCTTAGGGTTCATAACCCCTACAGCCCTTTGTAGGCCCTATATCCCCATAAGGGTCTAGGACTTAGGGTTTATGAACCCTATAACCCTTTAAGCTACACCTTTCGCAACTTGTGGAGATGACGTCCCTAAACCCTCAACCCCAAACCCTAAACCCTGAACCCGCGTGAGAGGCACCGGTGCACTGGCGGCCTTCCAGCCAGCGCTGCCACCGGCTCTCAAAGCCCAGCCCGTGCCACTCGCGAATCTGGGGCTTAGGGTTGAGAGGTTAAGGGGTTTTCAGGGTTTGGGGTTAAGGGTCTGAAGGGTCGTGGGGATAAGGAACTTAAGGGTTTTGGGGTTAAGGGTTTTGCGGGTTTTGGGGTGACGGGATTTAAGGGTTTAGGGTGCAGGGTTCAGGGTTTCAAGGGTTCAGGGCTTGGAACTTGCACTAGGTTACCATGACGGGTTCCATTTACAGGGGTCACATTGTGACCTTGATGTTTCACATTCGTTCGGACTATAGGGATACATAGTGGTTAGTTATGTAGGGCTTAGGGTCAAGAAACCATACTATGGGTAGATAGTCAGGAATAGAGTTTCCGTGCTATGGTAGCTTTCTTAAAGTTCCTCAGCAGCAGCCCAGATCATATGTCTCCCTGTACGGCCATCTTCAGTCAAATATCGAACCCTGTATGACCCCTATGCCCTAAACCCTAAGCGCTGAACCCTAAGGCTTAAACCCTTAATCTTGAACCCTAAACCCTGAGCCCCAAACCCTAAACCCTAAACCCTAAATCGTAGCTTCCATTTTCCTTTCCATTATCCCTATATAACCCTACTATAATCCCTAAGCCCTAAATGGTAGCTTCCATTTTCTTTTCCATTATCCATATATAACCCTATAAAATCCCGAAAGCTACCATTTTCCTTTCCATTACCCCTATATAACCCTATTATAATCCCTAAGCCCTAAATCGTAGCTTCCATTTTCTTTTCCATTATCCCTATATCACCCTACTATAATCCCTAAGCCCTAAATGGTAGCTTCCATTTTCTTTTCCATTATCCCTGTATCACCCTATATAATACCTCTATCCCTACATAACTTTATTATAATACCTCTATCCCTATATAACCCTATTACAATACCTCTAGTTTCCCTATCAGCTACCCAGGAGGCCGCAGTCCTGCGGAGACGGGGCCAAAGAGGCAGTCTCACTGTTGCTGGATCAATGTTCGGGATCCTTTAAAAGGGGGATATAGGGATTACATAGGGATATTCTGGGAATGTTAGAGGGTTTAGGGATCCTTTTTTTTTTTAAAAAAAAATACTTTTTGGGGTATGGGATTCCTTACATTTATGCAAAAAAGGATCCTTTTTTCTTCCTAGGGTAATGTGGGCTAAGGTTGCTGGGGGCCAAACGACCCTGGATCCATGTGGGGATGGGATGCGCCTGTCACTAGGTTGCACTTTGGGATTAACTCGTTCTTTCCCCCATTGTGGCACACGCGGGCCTACTTAGAAACAGTTGGTATAAGGTACCCTATTTTTTTCCGACAAGTTTGGTGGCCTTTAAAGTGCCCTCTTAAACCCGTAATTAACCCTCAACCCTAAACCCTAAAGCCTACACCCTAAACCCTAAACAATCAACCCTAGACCCTCAAGCCTAAACCCTAAAACCTCCCCAAAAGTACGACTCAGGTCAGGAAGTTTCAGGGGACAGAGGGCTGGTGCAGCGTCTTGCAGAGTCACCTGGTCAAATTGTAGGGGTCTCTCAATATGATACGCTTTAGGGTTTAGGGTTTAGGATTCAGATTTTAGGATGTAGGGTTTAGGTGTTTCCCAAAATTCGGGATCAGTTAAGGTAAAATAGGGAGTGAATAGGCTTACATCGTGGCTTTATTTCAGGTTTTGAACTGAGCTGAACTTCTAAACTGGCCAGGTCATTGGAGGCGCCGGTGTCAAGTACTTTTTCCGGGAAGGGAGTTCTCCGCGAGGATCATCCACTTTGGCTCTGGCCGATTGCGGGACCTGCAACTGGGTTTAGTGTTTAGGGTTACGTTCACTTTCCAGCATGCGCAAGCCAGTTTTTTAGGTCGAAAATAAGTTAGACTCATCAGGAAACCCTGTTATGCCTTATACATCTACATTACGGTGATTTAACTTAAGTTCCTGAACAGCAACCCAGGCAATGCCCAATCACTTGCGTGAGGTTGTCGAGAGCTGCGATGCTGTACTCATCCTGGGTGCACAAATGGGCGAAATTGCTTCCTGCAGGAGACTGAGGTGTTGTTGAATAGGATCTTACCTTTTTGTGTCTAGGGTCTAAATCCTAAACCTTAAACTCTTAGGTATTGTGGAACTCTCTCTACATACATTCAGCTGCTAGTACATCCCAGGAGACAGTGGCCGGCTCGTAGGATGAAAGTTGTGCATGTGGATGCGGACCCCACAGTGTCTTGTCTGGAGAGGGGGGGACATATGGGAGTTTCCCAAAATTAGGGGTACCTTTGTGCGGCTCCTCACAATAAGGACTGTATTTTGGTGTCTATATTGGGGTCCCCCTATTTTGGAAAATTATCATTTATATATATACATATGTATAATATAGATATATGGGTTTAGGGTTAAGGGCCTAGCCTGGCTCTTAGGACTTTGCTTTCTGTTTTTCTTTTTTTTTTGTGTTGTGCTGGGGCTCAGGGTTTACCTTTACCCTAAACCCTAAACCCTAAACCCTAAACCCTAGTCAGCCAAGGTGCTGGGCGCCAACTTCCTTCCAGATGTGCCGGTGCTCGGAAGCGTTGACATGGTGTTGCGGCTGATGTATCTGGCTAGGTGTTGAATAACATGTTTGTACCTTTTTCAGTATACCTGAGCACCGTCTATAGAAGCAATAGCAGGTTGCTTTTGATGTAGTATCTCAGCAGTACCAACCCTAAAACCCCCCCAGACCCCAAACCCTAGACCCTAAAACCAGGTTGGCGGAACTCCAGCAGCAGGGCATCCAGCCCAACATGCGGAAGACGGCAGATGGCAGCCTACACGATCATACGTTGAGGGCAGAGCTAAAGGCAGCGCATGAGGCTGGGCAAGTCTACATTTATGGTCCTCCTTAAGTAGATAGAATATGTGGTATATGGGGATCTTATCATAACATACCCAAAGCCACACTCTATCTACTTAAGGGGGGACTATAGGGTTAAGGGTTTAGGTTTGGGGGTTTGCTAATGCGACTGTTACTACTGATACGATTGTTACTACTAGTACTCTTGTTACTATCGTTACTATTCCAGTTCTCATTACGGCGGGTACTCTTATGACTATTATCATGAGCTCAAACAGGCTCACCCCTACAGAAATTGTAGTTACTATTGGGAATGTTTCCAAAGGTTCCTTAATTCAGGATTGTGAACTATTACAATTTGCCCAGATGAGGCCCTCCGAGCACAGATGCAAGCAGAAGCTTTGCAGCTTCCCACAGACGGCCAATGCTCGCCATTCGGCCTTTACAAGGCCTTGCAGGAAGCCGTACCCCCGGATTCGGCAGTGTTCATAGCTGACTCCGGAAATGGCACAGTGCTGTCCGCGGAATTTCTGCGATTGGCCGGACCCCGACGGTTCCTAGCCCCGACAGACTTCTCCTCGATGGGCTACTGGGTGGCAATGTGGGATAATGTTTAATTTCCCTCCTGATTTAAAGGCATATCATTCATAAATGGTGTTGGTGCTTTGAAGGTACAACCCCAAACCCAAAAGCCTAAACCCTATACTGCTAGTCCTAAACTCCAAACCCCAAATCCTAAACTCCCAGTCCTAAACCCTAAACCCTACACCCAGGCTACTGCGTTCCCGCAGCCATTGGCGCTGCCCTTGCTGCCAAGGCGAATGGCAATCAGGTGGGCCATGGTCCAAGCCCTTTAAAGGAGGGTTATATAGGGGAGGGTTTAGGGTTTAGGGTTTAGGATGTGGGGTTTCAGTTTAGGGTTTGGGATTTAGGGTTTGGGGTCTAAACTCCTCAAGGGGGGTTATATAAGGCATTTTATCGGGGATTACTACAGGGGTCATTTCGGGGGATACTAGGAGTTTAGACTATAACCCCTATAATCCACTGCATGAGCCTATATAGAGCAGTTTCCATTTCATTTTCCAGGTTCTTTTCCATTTGATTCTCCATTATGAAGAAGGAACACTACACTCCTGGAAACTAACATGGAGACCCAAAAGGGGCCCTATAAAGACTACAGTCCCTCTAAAAAGGGGCTATATGGGTTTCCATGTTAAACCCTAAACCCTAAACCCTAAGGGGGAGTGTAGGAGTTTAGACTATGGCAACCAGGTGGTGTCCGTGGCAACTGTGGGTGATGGCCCCATGGCTGCACTTTGTTTGGGTTCAGGATTTAAGGGTTTAAGGGTTTAGGCTTTAGGGGTTCCCCCGAGCCCTAGAAGAAGGACCCTAGAATAAGCGTCATATGAGCACGCGTCAGAGTCCCACACTCGTTCTGCAATCTCGTTGCGACTCGTTCTAGTAGGCTTGGGTTCAAGAACCACATCAAAGACTGACCCCTTGCCCTAACTCGCCATTCTAAGTGGGAAGCGCATGACAAGTCCCTTGTAACTCGTGCACTGTTCTCCCCAAACAATTAAGACGTTCTGAAGCAAAGGGTTTAAGGATTTAAGGGTTCTGGGGTTCTGGGCTTGGAGTTTTTGGGGTTGTGTCCCCGCATGAGCTAGAGTCTATATTTTAGGGTCAATTCTGGGAGATACTAGGAGTTTAAGCAATGGCTCACAACGAAAAAGGTTAAGGGGAATCGCGGCCCACGGAAGGGTTTTGAGGGGATGAAGGGAATCTAAGTGGGAGTTTCCTAGAATAGGGGTTGCCGTATGCCCTACACACTAAGTCCTAATTCCCAAGCCCTAAGCCCTGAACCCTAAGTCCTAAGTCCTAAACCCCAAGCCCTAGGTCCCAAACCCTCAACCCAACAACCCAACACACCCCAAAGACCCGACAACCCCAAACCCCGAAACCCCACAACCCAAAACCCAAAACCGTCTGAACCTGAAACCCTAAAGCCCTAAACCCTTAAACCCTAAACCTCCAATCCTAAGTCCTAAACTTTTATACAGCCCCTAAAATCCTAAACCCGAAAGCCCTAAACCCTAACGCCTGCACCCTAAACCCTTATCAGTAGCTTCCATTTCTTTTCAGTATCCTTATGTAACCCCTATATCAACCTTATTATATTATAGTAGTTTCCATTTTCTTTTCCATTATCCCTGTATAACCCTATAGAAACCCTAAATAAACCCTATATGACCCTATATAACCCCATATAACCCCCACAAAAACCAAATATAGCCCTATATAACCCTTTATAACCCTATATAACCCTATGTAATCCCCACATCACCCCCATAGAACCCTGTAAAGTACCTAAAAGGTGCTTTCTTGATGACGGGCCTCGAGATGAGAACGGCTCTCCAGCTGAAGCTACCGGTCATTTGCGTGATTCTCAGGGATGGTCCCTTGGCTACGGTTTAGGGCTTAGGGCTT